AAGATTGGAGAGACATTTAATTTATAAAAGAGAAAAAAATTTTGGTAAAAAAAGAAAAAATCAAGAACATACCAATAACCGACAACACTTGACCAAGAATAGCCAGTGATGTGTTTTTTTTTTTGGAAAGCTTCGAACTAGTCCCGAAGATTGGAGAGACATTTAATTTATAAAAGAGAAAAAAAATTGGTAAAATATTAAAAAACCAAGAACAAACTAAGAACAGACCAATAACCAACAACACTTGACCAAGAATAGACAATGATGTTGTTTTTTTTTTTTTTTTAAAGCTTCGAACTAGTCCCGAAGATTTGAGAGATATTTAATTTATTAAAGAGAAAAAAAATTGGTAAAAAATGAAAAAACCAAGAACAGACCAAGAACATCTTGGTTTGTTCTTGGTTTTTTCTCTTTTTACCAGTATTTTTTTCTATTTTATAAATTACAATGGTTATTAATACCTAAAAAATCAAAAAATATGTAAAAATGTATGTTTTTAATGTTTTATTAGAGTTTGTTATTGGTCTGTTCTTGGTCTGATCGGTCGGTTCTTGGTCTGTTCTTGATCAGGTGGTCGGTTCTTGGTCAGTTCTTGGTCTGTTCTTGATCTGGTGGTCGGTTCTTGATCGGTTCTTGGTCTGTTATTGATCTGGTGGTCGGTTCTTGGTCTGTTCTTGGTTTGGTGGTCTGTTATTGGTCTGTTCTTGGTCTGATGGTCGGTTCTTGGTTTGTTCTTGGTCTGGTCGGTCAGTTCTTGGTCTGTTCTTGGTCTGGAGGTCGGTTCTTGGTCTGTTCTTGATCTGGTGGTCGGTTCTTGGTCTGGTGGTCGGTTCTTGATCTGGTCGGTCGGTTATTGATGACGTGGAATAGCTGATGTGGAAGTTGGCCTATTTACTCAATTTTTTTTTTTTGTGGTTTATTTACTTAGAAACACTTTTTACTTAGTCTATTTCTTGGTTTGGTCGGTCGGTTATTGATGACGTGGAATAGCTGATGTGGAAGTTGGCCTATTTACTCAATTTTTTTTTTTTGTGGTTTATTTACTTAGAAACACTTTTTACTTAGTCTATTTATACAAAGGGCCCTGTGGAATTGTTGGTCGTTGATTTGGATGGTTGGGATTGAGTTTGTGTGAGTGGTTCTAAACAACGAAAGCGTTGACCAAATTTTGAGGAAATACTAGTTCTGCCTCTGAACTTTTGCAAGTGTACTATTTTGTCACTGAACTGAAGAAAAGTTTTACTTAAGACCTCATTCATTTCACTCATTTAAATTTTTAATTTTAATTTTATTATAGTTAAAAATTCTTATAAAAAGTCTCATTTAATTTTTTCTACTACAATAAAAAACTCACATAAAATTACATCTTAACTCAAATTAAAAATTAAAATCAACGAACTCAACAAGACTTAAACCTTTCATTTAAGATCTGTCTTTATGTTTTCCATTTTTTCTTATTCTTTTTCTATTATTCCTGTCAACAAATGATGGAATTGAGTGACTACAGGTTTAGTCTAACAAAAATTTCACAGCTGACTCGATCATAGGTTACAAGTTCAAATTCTCCCACCTCAGTTTAAAAAAAAAACGAAATTGAGGGATTTTGCATAAGATAAGCCATCCTAATGAACTTATTTTATCAGAATGAAAAGTAAAAAATATAGACACCTGCATTTCGAAAATTCCATTCAAAAAGATGTGCTTCAAAGAATCTCGTCATCTATCACTTATCTTTTATTTTGTCGTCGTTTTTAACCTCATTGTTGTTCTCTTCCTGTTGTCATTTTTCCACTTTATCGTCGTTTATTTATTTTCTTGGTCCACCTCCTCCAATAAAAAAAAGAAAAAAATAAACATATCAATCAATAGCAATCAATAACAACATATATTTTCTAAAAATAATAATTAAATATTAAATTTATTATATGCTATATTTGATAATAATTTAACACTAAGTATATCATACGGTAAATTTAACATAACAAATTATATTGTAATAGAAGAATTTAAATTTATTATTTAATTTTAATGTCTTAATTAATATTTAATTAATTAAATCACGTCATATAAAAAATTTAAATTATTTTTTAACTAACTCTTTTGAGTTTATAATAGATAGTATTTTTAACACTCAGAATGCTAAATTTACCGCGTATTTATTGCATTGCGTTAGAGATACTCTCAGTGCCTTCCTTCTGCATGCTACTTCGTCGTTCATTCTATTGATTGTCGTTTCTGACATCACTGTTCTCGTTCGTCTATTTTGTTCATTGGAATGAGATCTTCCCCAAATTCGCAACACGAAAAGTGAGAGACCATTGAAAGCGTGGTTCATTCAAATTGAACGTCGTTTTGACCATCAGAAGAAACGACGCCATTTATTTTCCCTCTAACTCTTGCCACGAAGACTGAAACAGCAGGCATAACATTTCGGTGAAGCTCCGAAGACTGAGGAACAGAAATTAGTAGAATGGCGCACGTTAGCATGGGGGAGGCGCACCGTAGAATCGCGGACTACCTGAACCGTTTCGCCGACGCCGTTTCGTACCAGGACGGAGCATCTCTGAAGAAACTCCTCTCTCTCTCCTCCAACTCTTCCTCTCTCCTCTCCCTCGCCGACGCCCTCGCCGTCTTCCACGACTCCAATCGCCTGATCAAGCAATCCGACAAATTCTCTCACCTCGCTGAGATTCTCCTCCCTCTCTTCCGCGCTCTCCACAGCTACCGCATCGGAAACCTCGTCGACTCCTACCAATCATATGAGAAATCGGCCAAGTATAAACCAACGATTTCGATTATATAGTATATACATACATATATATATATATGTATATATATACACACACACACACACACACACACACACAGATATATATATATATATATATATATGTTTGTACATATGTATATTGTGTGCGATTGTTTGGTGATTGTGAAATTGCAGTGCTTTTATTCAGGAGTTTCGGAATTGGGATTCGGCGTGGGCTTTGGAGGCCTTGTATGTCGTTGCTTATGAAATTAGGATTCTCGCGGAGAATGTAAGCTTCAAAGAAATCTCTTTTTTTTTTTTTTTGAATTAGGGTTTTGAAGGATTTAGAAAGGGATTAAGCAATGCTGTTTTGATTTTGGTTTTTAGGCTGATAGGGAATTGGCTTCAAATGGAAAACTTCCTGAGAAATTGAAGGCTGCTGGTTCTTTCCTCATGAAAGTCTTTGGTGTTCTTGCTGTATGTTTCTCTCATTGTGCTTTGTTTCTTTGTATATGCTTCATTTTTCTCTACCCTGCTCTCTGATTTGATCTTTTTTCCTGCCATAATTAACAAGCAAAAGTTATTTGGTTATGCTTATTGCATCTAGATGGATATTAAATTTATGAAAAATTACCCAAGCATGTTTTTTTTTTCTTCCCAATAATTGTAAGTTGTGCATTAAGAAGTTGAATTTGTGTAATGGTTAAATTTCTTGAATTGTTACTGTAAATGAGTTAATGGGGTGTCATGTTCTAGGGAAAAGGCGCAAAACGTGTTGGAGCATTGTACGTGACTTGCCAGCTCTTTAAGATTTACTTTAAGGTGATATTATATTTTCTTCTTTCTTAATGTATTTGTGTTCCGCAGATATTCATTTGTAATTTCTCTCGTGGTTTATTATCATACCAGAGGAATAAAAAAAATTCAGGAAAAATATTTACCTGACGGAAGTGTTTATATATCTTTCAAGTGCTTGAAATGGTGCAAGCAACATCAAGATCACATTATGAAAACTGAGAACTCTTTTTACTACCTTACAGCTTGGTACAGTTCACCTTTGCCGCAGTGTGATAAGAAGTATTGAAACTGCTCGGATATTTGATTTTGAGGAATTTCCAAAAAGAGATAAGGTCGGAATTGGCTTCTCTCAAATTCGTCTTTTCATACTTTGTGCTATGTATCTGCAAGAAAGTTCACTGTTATGGGATGTTTATTCAGGTCACCTACATGTATTATACAGGCCGTCTGGAAGTTTTCAATGAAAATTTCCCTGCTGTAAGTAAACTAAATCCTTTAAAATGATTTTTCAGTCAGTTGTTGTTTCATTGCTTGTGGTGGGGATCTAATTTTTAGAGCCTCAGGTTTTTGTGTATGGTTTGAATGGTTGAGCGTCGATTCCTGTTTATTGCTAGCATTATAGCTTCTCTCTTTACATCCAACTGTGAAGTGTAAACTTTAATGGAGATAAAGATATTTTCTTGCTGATTTGAATTTCTATCATATTGAATTTATCTTCGTTTTAACTATACAAATTTCGTTGCTTGCACATGGAAAAGTGTTGGGAAATTGTCTTTCTATCAGGTCTATTGTTCACAGAATTTTTTCTCATGACCTTGCAGGCTGATCACAAATTATCATATGCTTTGAAGCATTGCAATCGCCAAAGTGAAGCAAATATTAGGTTTGGTTCATTTGTTCTAGCTGCATCTATTATGCATCTGAGAGTAGAATATTTTGCAAAATGTATGGCATTTATTGCTCACATTTTCATCCTTGGAACTGGGACAGGATGATATTGAAATACCTCATACCAGTAAAGCTTTCAATAGGCATCTTACCGAAGGATTGGTTTTTGGAGAAGTACAACTTGGTTGAGGTATAGCATTCCTTTTGTTTTTGTTTTACCCTAGACCTTGGAATTATAATGTCTTTACTGCTCGATGTTTCTTTCAGAAGATGTTCTTTGTTACCATGTTGCTTTATTGCCGTACTCCTAGTTCACGTTTGCGGGTTTGTTATCAAGGATCGACCAATTTTAATTTGATATGGAAATTTTGTTCCGTGCATCTAACCAATAACATTCTTGTTTTACAGTATAGAAATGTTGTACAAGCTCTAAAAAGAGGTGATCTCCGTCTCCTTAGACATGCCCTACAAGAGCATGAAGACCGGTATGTTTTGGAGGCATCTTTCCGAATGCAGACATTTAGTTGTAGGAATTTGCATGGAACTGAGATCTGACTCCTCTGCCTTATCAGGTTCTTAAGATCAGGTGTATATCTCGTCCTAGAGAAGCTCGAACTCCAAGTCTACCAAAGACTGATGAAGAAAATGTAAATTTCCCTCTCTCGTCTAAAGTTTGCTAATTCGATTGATGTCCTATGATGTCTTGGAAAATCTTTCCTGATAACCTGTGCTTATGATACAGTTACATAATTCAAAAGCAAAAGGATCCAAACAAAGCCCACCAACTGAAATTGGAAATAATTGTCAAAGCGTTGAAATGGCTTGAGATGGACATGGATCTCGATGAGGTATTTGCTTCCTCCTAACTCCCGCGTCATTGCCATACCATCTTTTCTTTCCCCGGCAGTTTATCTGATCAGATGTGCCTTGTGATTTGCAGGTAGAGTGTATCGTGGCGATACTAATATACAAGAATCTCGTAAAAGGCTACTTTGCTCACAAGAGCAAAGTAGTGGTTTTAAGCAAGCAAGATCCTTTCCCTAAATTAAATGGAAAGCCAGTTAATTCATAGAATTATTAACAAAAAAGTAAAACTTTAGTATTGCTATTCAGATGGCTTAGGCTTGGGTAGTTCCATTAGATGAAGCGTTTGTTTCGGATTAGGTAAGGCGGTCAAATCGTCCTGCGATTTAAGGCTTCTTATATAGTTGATGCAAAAAACCCAGCTTCATTTTTGTCGTTAGTTTGAAATTATCAGTATCCTTGTGTGTTTTTCTCAGATCTGGAATATATTAACTCGTGTACTCTGCAACTTCTTTTCTCGCGCATAGATTATTCAAATCATAGTGATTAGGGCCTGAAGGTGAAACTGGTCAAGAACAAACTTGGTGCAGCCAGTAAATGTTAGAAGAACAAAAATAGGGTCTGGTGGTTTGATTGAGGAAGAAAACGATAACAAGGAAAAGGAAACAATCACAAGGAAACAAAGAATACGAATAACGAACACAGATTCTAAAATACTTACATAAGAAAGATCACATAAATCAATGATAATAGCACATAAAATAAGATCACATTTCGTAGTGATTCTCCTGTTTTCTCATTAAGCTTCTTCGAGTAGTGATTTGATTTGGTCGTTTGATTGTTTAGTTTGATAGTGATAAAGAATTGTTGGTTACATGTGTATGGAACAGTTTATGGGAGTTGAACAATCAAATCAATACTGCAGAAGAGTGAACAAGCTTTTGAGCTAAAATTATGAGTTTCTATTGAATGAAGCAGAAAGATTGTAAAGTACATTTATAGCATTTTCCTTGTTTGAATCCTAATAAGACTCAAACTAATAATCATAATAAAACTAGTACTAATTTAAAAGACAAGTTATAATGATAAAACTCAAAATAAATAGCCTTTTTTATAGGAGATATTAAGAATTAAATTCTTCATTTATCAGCACTAGTGCACTACCAACCATTTTGCTTAACACCTACACGTCATTGTTTTTTTTTTTTTTTGGTCTTTTGTTAGTTAAATACGATTGGATTTCTTTTTAAAAAAAAAAAAAAAAAAATTGAAATACATAAACTTCGACTCTGCAACGCACTATTTTTGGTTTAATATAATACATAAGTTGCTACAAACATGCATCAACGATTTTAAATATTTTTCTACCAAAAAACGGACATATTTATTTACTAGTAGATTTATAGTGAGATTGATCTATTTTACTAAAATTTTAGCTATTTAAAGTATTTGAAATCCCTCGACCCATTCCCTATTGTTTTTTGCCATACCGAACAAATCACGGATCCTAAAATCTTTCCAATAATCCCCTCGCCCCACTACCTTCTTCAACTTTTCCTTCCTACCAAATAAGAACTTAGATTTATTGATCAACAATTAGATAAAATAAGAATATATTACAATCAGAGAAGTAACTTGCATTCCGTTGGATACATCATTGCAGCAAACATCTTACGAGATTGCCAGAAATGGATACTTCCTTTTTTCTTTTTTCTTTTTTTTTTTGCTTGAACCCAGAATTACATTCGTTGTTTACCTAAATCTCAACATTAAGCAAAATTGACATCTCAAATATATGAGAAGTTGAATTCAAACAGACACAAGCTCAAATACATAGCTTTGGACTTATCCAAAAAACGGGGAGAGACTACTTTTTGCACCAAATAAGGGGAACAGGAAAAAAACTAGGAGGGAAACAAAAAATAAATAAAGACACATTCATCCATCATACAGAAGTAATTTGGAAGCACACGTTTTGGATGTACAGCTTTCAAGCAGCATCTTGCGGAATTAGATTTTGTATGTTTGAAGGCATTAGAATGTTGAAACCATCACCTGCAGTAGATATGATCATTCCCGGAATCTGAGAATGCCAATGGAGCTCTTTGATGTCTTTTTGTCCCTGTACAAAACAATGAAGGACGATGAGTTAACTCGCTAATCGACAAGCAACTTAAATTTACTGGTGAAGAAGTTGGAAGAACAGTTGGTTACCTGATGAACAAAAAGAAGTTGAGGAGGTAAATCTTCTGGGGCATGCACTTGTTCTTTGGTCTTGGCTTTAAACTCTACCTCCTCTTCCTCGTCTCTTTCCAAGGAAAGGTCCCATATTCTGGAATTGAAAACCAGAAGAGAAAAGGGAAGTTATTTGATATTACAGGTTAGAAAGTCAGATCATAAAATTATCTCATAATTTTTATTTGTCCTGCGTCTGTTACTCACGTCAGCTGATTATCGACCGATGACACAGCCAAAGTGGAAGCTTCGTGTGGGCTCCACTCAATAGATGTGATAGGATGTTTATGATAAGCAAAATGCGCAACTACAGTATCTTTTTCCTGCATACAAAGAGATGAAATTTTAGTTCTAGATACATCAACAACTGAAAGGAGATTCCATTTTCATACCAGGTCTTATGCAACATTCTATTTCATTGAGCTACTGATATAAAATAGTGCATAATGACCACGTTAGAGTCAATCCAAAACCAACCTATCATATACAAAACTCGACACACCAATTATCTAACTTGATCAAAATGAGATTCATAATCTATTGTCAAAAGAGTAGGGACGATATACTTTTTTTTACTAATTTTTCCCCTTTTCTGACCATTCAGTGATCCAAAGTAGTGTTGCAGAAGCAACAAAGAGAAAATTGTAGAAATCTTGTCTCAAGAAAGATGAAAAATTGTAAACATTATCCAGCCTACTAATGGTGTATACCTCGCTCTTAAGCGATCTGAGATCATGAATGGAAAACGTTCCGTCATCACTTCCAGATGCCAACATACAACTGGCCAACCTAGTCAGAGACAAGTGATAAATAGGTCATAAAAGGAAATACAGAGAGGCATTGATACTAAAGAAAAACAGTGGCTGTCAGACCTGTTCCATGAAATAACGTTAACATCTGCATTATGTGCCTTAAAAGACTCTACTGGCTTCTTCCCTAAGCGAACATCCCATATTGCTATATGACCATCAACAGAACAAGAGGCAAATATATCCGGTTCTGTAGGGCTCCACTGCACGGATAAAAGTCAGAACCAGGATGGTTAAAACATTGAATAAAATAAAGGAAAATTAAATAATGACCTGGAGACCACATTTAAGACCGAGAAAATATTTTCACTTCACAAGTTCAAAGCATACTTGTAGATCTTCTACACTGGCTGCGTGTCCAATAAATGGAGTAGTATCAACCTTCCAAGTTGTATCAGATGTAGGTTCCCAGAAATGAATGCAGTTCTTGCAGTCACCTTCATTCAACAAGTCGCTAGATTATAATTTTTCCATTTACTAAAGCAAAAAACAGCAAAATGATATGAATGGGAATCTGAATAAACTGAATAGTACCGGACAAAAGCCTTCCAGGTACAATTGGACTCCAGTCTATAGCATAGCCCTCATCCTTATGCCCGTATTTAATTAGTGGAGCCTGATTAAAAACTGAAGCAGCACCCTGACTCAGGTCCGATTCCGATTCGGTTAAAGCATTAAGGTGAGAGCTGAAGTCCCATATCTGCATAAAAAAGAATAAAAGTGAAATTACATCAAAAGTATAACCTAAATAAGATGACCAAGTCCAAGTGTTCTAACAATGCAAAGTCCAACCTGCACATGACCTGTATCAGCCCAGGATGCACATATATGAGGCCTCTGTGACATAGCACGTATACGATTAACACCTCCTTCATGAGCTACCTTTCGCAACTGTAGATGCAAAGAACAAAAGTTAAGGATCCACATTAAGTAGAGAAGAAACCTCATCAAGAAGAATTTAGTAAATATGGGTGTATAGAAAATATTGCCTGCAAAATTGGTTCCCCAGATCCACCACGGCCCTCATCTTCACTTTCCGATTCACTATCACTACTGCCACCCTCCATATTAGATCCATCAGCGGTGGACATTTCAGGCACTAGTTCACGTCTTTTCCCAGAAATGTTGGATATTTTAAATATTCCTATGGAGTTCCAAGCAGCTTTCTCCGCCTGCAGGAAAAGATTGAATAATTATTGAGAGTTACAAGAAAATTAAGAAAATATATTTCTAGAAGAAAACAAGCTTAAGCACTTGTTTCCCAATAACTCATATAAAACAAGCAGTCTGATAATTTTTCACCAAGAAAACAAAACCTTGTGCGACTACACAAGGAAAAACCAGGATTCATACTCTTTTTCCTTCTCCTTTTTTACAGACTTGCACCGTTCCACGCACAATATATACACAAATATTTTCCAAGATATATACGCATACAAAAATGAATAAAAGTAAACCTCACCTGGGTTCCTGCGACCATATATACTGTATGTGGAAACTCTGTCCGAACTAACCCCAATGTATCACGAACGATATCAAAACTGTCAAGTAATTCGATAACAACTTCTAAATGGGACTTTCTTAATCCAAATGGAAATTTAAAAAAAAAATAATAATAACAACAATAATAAATAAATAAATAAATAAAAACTGCTCAACTTCCTTTGGCTTTCCTATAAAAATGGTGTCTACTAAGCAAAGAAAACAAAATCCACTCTTCTTAGTCCCAAACAACCCGTTTTTCAATCTTATTCCCCTCAAATTTTCATCCGAATAATCAAAATAACACTATAGACAAAAGAAAAAACACTTAATTTCCGAGAAATCAATATAAAAGTACTACTCTTTGACGTAGTTAGGCCAATCAACGTCCAAAACCAATCTCAAAATCTAAACTTCATATTAATTTCCCAAACTTTCCCCGGAATTCAAAATCAAAAGAAAAAAAAAATGAAAATCTTACAACACCTCAAACAGGGCCATCCGATATGGAAGGCGTGAAGAGAATTGTACGCCGAGCGATCGCACTGGAGCTCTTCACCTTCCTCGAGCTTGTCCACGCCTGGTTGCCACACCTTCGCCGGCATGGACGGCACCGAAGACGACGACGAACCATCTCCTTTCTTCGAACCCTAATTGGAAAGAAAAATTTTGGCGTTTATTGTCGATTCAACGGAATTAACAAAACCTAAGTGCTGGAGAAGTAATGGAATCGGGGAAACCGACCGTGTTCTTTCGCTTTGCTTTCTTAGGGTTTTTGATGCTCCGAACCATCTCTGCAATGCCGGCTCAGGCCTCAGGGGTTTAAGGTTGAAGGAGCAGGGCTTTAAGTATTGGGGTCATATTTACTGATAACTCCCCGAAGATTATACTTTATCTCACTTTAGTCCCCATTTTTCACTTGGAGATTTTATTTATTACCCACTATTTTTTTTTATTAAATTGGCCATTTCAACTCGTGCCTCGTGACCATTTATAAACAGTATTTTGGTAAAAATATAAATAAATTAATTCTAAAAGTAGTTCTAAAATAAACATGTTTTCATACATCGTTTGGTAACGTTTTCCTTTTAAATTTTTTAAACTAAAAACAAATACATTTTATTTATTTTTAAAAAAATGCAAAAAAGATTGGAAGAATTTGTGATAAAGTTTGAAGATAATCTTTAGAAGAAACAAAACCTTAAATCATCAAACAATTCAGCCTCGTTTATTTTACCGATTTGAGTTTAAAATTATAGTTTTATTACTGTAAAAAGCTCTCAGAAACAATCACATCTAACTTTTTTACTACAGTAAAAAGCTTTCACATAAAATCACATCTCAACTCGAATTAAAAACTCGAATCTACGAACTAAACGAGCTCTTAGTATACTGTTAACAGGTACATAAAAAATAGAGCACATACATGACTTTTTAGTATCTCTGCTATCAATTGGTGTCGAAAATTTCATTGCACTAAAGTCACATTAAATTACAATCAAAACATAAATTCAGTAGACAAAACACAATCAAATAATAAACTAATGAAACAAACACGGATAAAATACATCGTTGATGCAAACCTAACTCAAATTAAAGAAGAAAAAACGGACCATAAATAACAATGATAATGCGCTTTTGATGGAGAGATACCATTAGAGTATGTTTGGTAGGAAAGAAAAGTAGAAGGAAGGAAGAAGGTGGAGGAATTTTGGGAGGGAAAATGAAAATGTAGGTTATTTGGTAGGAGAGAAAAGAGAAAAGAAGAGAAAATGGAGTGGAAAATAATACATGTGGGCCCCACCATTTTTTTTCTTTCCACAAGTGGGTAGAAAATGGGGACAACTCATTAAAATGAGCAAAGTTACTAAACTATCATTTTCTCCATCAACATCCAAGTAAAAAATTTAAGGGTATAAAAGTAATTTACGAGTAAGATTTTTTCTTTCCTCTTAATTTAACTTCCAATACCAAACAAGTGAAGGTAAGCTCATTCATTTTCTTTCCATCTTCTCATACCAAACAACATAAAAGAGAATCAATTTCCTTTCCATCATTACTATTTTCTATCACTTCCATATTTCCTTTCTATCATATTTTCTTTCCTTCCCACCAAACATAGCATTAATGTCCAAAACAACGGTAAAAGGTTAAGCACAATGACGGAAGAACCATTGTCGATATGCCTATGAACCAAAGAATGTGCACCAACCAAGTAGCCCAACGTCAGTTCACCACCAAATATTTTTGACACCTGATGATGCGCCACACCATTAGGGACGAGACCTCAAAAGACTAAGGCCTCATTCGTTTCGCTGATTCGAACTCAAATCAGCGAAACGAACGACGCCTAAGAACGTTGGAGAAGGGGATGGTGCCATCCAAAATACAAAGCATAGAGTCTAATGACATGTTCAGCAACAGTTAGGACACTAATCAGAACACTCATTTTTCTCTCTCTCCCACACTTCTTTAGTCAGAATTTTCAGGCTCGTTAGTTTGCTAATTCGAGTTAAGATGTGATTTTATGTGAGAACTTTTTACTGTAATAAAAAAGTTAGATGTTACTGTTTTTGAGAGCCTTTTACTGTATCAAAACTCAAATCAGTGAAATGAACGAGACTTTCTTTTTAATATTGGAAATTCGATCATCTTTCTTTTTTTTTTGGTTAAATTTTTTGGGATGTTGTACAGAAGTATAAATCCAAAATTCAAAAATACTATGGGCCCGTTTAAATCGCTTATTTGAGTTGAAATATGACTTTATATGAGAACTTTTTATTGTAGTAAAAAAGTTAAATGTGAATGTTTCTAAGAGTTTTTTACTATAGTAAAATGCAAATCGGTAAAATGAACGTGGCCTATAGTTAAGAGAACATATGGCGCAATTGAATGTGGTTTGCATGGCTATAAAAGGTTACAAATTGTGAAGGGAACCAAGTACCAACGAATAATAACCATACGAGTATTATAAAAAATAACAAAAGATAGTTAAACGAGAAAAAAAAAATTACATATTGTGTATGAACACAAAAATATTTCCTGGGAGCCTTAATTTTCCACAATTTATTTATTTTGTTCAACTCAAAAACAATTTTGAGAAATGTATCGCACATGGTGTTATAAACAAGAACTTAACAACACAATGGTTCTATACAAACTTCACCCCAATGACTGAGGACCATAGCACCAGCTAATTTTATCTGCAAAATATCAAAAAGAGAGACAGAAAATTAGCATATTCAAACACATTAACGGAAACAAAACGGTTTTCTTACCAAAAAAATACAAAATTACTTTATAAAAACCATATTTAGCCAACTTAAAATAGTAATATAGTGTTTTGTTCGCTTTCTATTTTACCTGTTATTTCTTTGTCTTGTAAGGAGAACAAGGACTCCAAATCCCACCATAATTGCAACTTTCACTAGCTGAAAAAAAAATGACAATGAACAAGAAAAACTATTAGCACCATTTTATTTCCAAGTTCCAACTAGTTTCTAGATGATCTCTTTCAGAGAAATAACATGAACTCCTTTTCTTTTTCTTTTCTCTTTTTTTCATTGTTAATTTTCTAAAATCTGAACTGAAATTCTGAGGTTTGCAAGGCTTTTCCCCATAATCAATAATAAAACCTTTATAGTTCTTAGAAGATAAAATATAACCTGTCCAACCGGTCCTGTAGAAGATTCAACATCTTCACTCTCGGGCTTTGATTTTCTTGCTTTGTGAGTTTTCTTGCTTCTTTTAATCTCATTTCTAGTGCCACCATTGTCATTGGACTGAGATAATTAGGAAAACATAACAATTGGATGTTTAATAAAGGAAATCTCATCATTTGATTTCTTAAGGCAATTTTGAGTAGCCAAGAGTCTGGAATAAAGATACCTTTTCTGGTATGGAAATGTTGACCTTCCCTTGACGAACTTCTGACTTAATAGAACCATAACCTCCCACGAAATCCATCAACTTCTTACCACCAGTTGTTACGCAGAATCGTCTCATTTGATCGGGGAATATCCATGCACTAAAGCTGTCAAAGGAATCGTGCATATCTTCATAGTGCTCTACTGGTCTCAAGTTATGGGTTGTAATTTCTCTCATGGTAAAACTTGGTGAAGTTTCGGAAGAAATTTTTGTTTGACTTTTGCTGGAATGTTGCCTATCACTGACATTATCGACCGCTGAAGACGTTGTGATCATTGGCGTTCTAGTCGAATCTCCATGAGATTTCTCTTCCTCTGTGGCTAGTTCCTTATGTGTAAATTTGAGTTTACTCTTTGTACTTGTGTTGTTTGTGCCTTTGCCTCTTACTTTTGTTGTGCTCAACTCCTCCAACTGCACACTGCCTCTCATTGTTTCTGTGTTCTCTGTCTTCGCTTCCTTCGACTGAGATCCAATCTTATTCGATTGTACTTTTGTCGGCGGTGATGGTTTGATGTGAGATTTCGTATCCTGTTAAAAGATATTGTTGTGAAACATTTATAATAAAGAAAAGATGTTTATCAGATTTTTGTTAACAAAATAAGATATATACCTGAGAAAGATTACTTTCAAAGGCACTGATCATATTCCTGACACTGCTAGGAATCCTCTCTAGAGAGCTTCTCTTTCTCGAATAAGAACCCGATTCTGAACTTCCCATTGAAGATGGTGATTCATTTGAGTGAACTTCTCTGCTAGCAATCTTAGCAGAAGGTAATTGAGGCTCAACTTCCTCATCAGATTGCTTGTCAATGAGTCTACTTATATGGATATGATCAACATCTTGTGACAAAGGAATGGCTGATGATGTAGCCTCTTTGTTTCTATCTGCATCGTTCTAAAACAGGTGAAATCACCGTTAAAATGAATCCAACCAAACTTTTTAGTTATCCTTTTCATAAAAATTGCTTTTTTTTTTTTTTTTGGTATTATCCTCCTTCCTATTTTCTTGTTATGCTCAAATCTCATTGAACTTTTTTTCCCCCTTATTGAGTATGCGACATCGAACCTGAATTCTCATGGCACGACGATGAAGCAACTTTAGTATCATCATTAGGACTAACTTCTACACTACTAGTTCTGCAATCAAGAAGCTCACCATGTTTCTTTTTCATAGCAGATTCTCTCTACAAGCAAAATGAAAACATATGCTAAAAATAAGAAAAAAAAACATATATACAACATTATCATTTAGACAAGCAATGAGGTAAAAAAAAAAAATGAAAAATACCATCAAGCGAATTCTGTTGCGCTCATCTTCATTGAGTACAAACTGGAGCTTCATCTGGACATGTCCACCTCCTTCAAGGGGAAAGATGTCATCCCAAATACCTTTCTCAACTATTAATTTGGTTTCAACACCTGCCCAAATTTAAAGACATAAATACCCAATTATACACATAAAATTTGCAATTTGGATAGATATATATTTACGTACCTGCATGTGATATTTCATTGCCCTCTGAATCCTGGATGACAACGACCAAATTGTCTCGGAGGGTTGTCAAAGGGCTGTAACACAACAGAATCTGTATATTGTTACCAAAATTGAAGTAATTGCAAATAATAATAATAATAAAAAATAATAATAATAATCACTAAAGTAAAGTGTAGCCTTTAGGAGTGACACTTGAGCATTGTGATTATTACAAGGAAAGTTCTCCTTTGTCCCAAGTTTGGTACCCCTTTTTCCCCATGGAAACTGCATTTGCAATGAAATGTTCAATCGTGTTAATATATATTTAAACAGAAAAGTGAAGTTAAAAGGAAGGGATAATTGAGTACCTTTTATTGAAATTGTTGAAGAAGGTGATGAGAATGGAAGGTCCATGAGTTCCAGAACTGGCATGAGATGAAAATAATTAGTAATAGCTTTTCATGTTTGAATTGCAGTTTAAAAAACATGGTACTTAGTACCTGAAACTAAGATAGTTCCTGGCATAGGAAATATAATTTCTGCTTAAATGTTGACAAGAAGAGAAAACCAAGATTTGCTTTTTGTGATTTCAGCTTGTATTTTTGGATATTTAGCTCAAGGGACTGAAACAGTTTCTTCTCTGTAGAGCATGACTTGAGAGAGAGAGAGAATTGGGAAATAGGGATATTGGATTGAAAATGTGGATGTGGTTCGGCAAAAGAGATAGTGGGACCCTTAAACCTTCCAAAAAATTTATTAGCCATCCCACAAAAGCTAGTAAAGACAAATCTCTATTTTTGTCAGGGGTCTTCTTTAGTCTTGACTTTTAAGCCTTGAGAACGAGTTCCTTCCAACTACTTTAACTGGGGAAATAGAGGGTGTTTTTCTGTCTTTGTTTTGTTAATATATCAGCTACACGGTTTGGTAATATTTGAATGCATTTGACGATTAAAGATATTACCCTTCAGCCCAAATTGATGAGTTTATCGTTTTGAACCCAAAACAATAAACACATCATATAAAGAATTCTGTGTCTAGACTTTGGTTCAAACTTACATACTTTTAAAATTTTCATTTCAAACAACAAAAGATTCAATAGGAAGCTGTTTCTTGTAATTTTTCTTCAGCCAATATATATATATATATATATCATCAATAGGAATATCTTGCTCACGAAGGAAAATTTGGAACCCAACATGGAAATATAGCCAAGTATTCCAAGAAGAATGAGAACACATTGACATTCAAATTGAACGAAAAAAATCTCCATCCTGAAGCAGATGAGCACAAAAATATACGAGGCTCCTTCTGTAGTGTCTTTTCTCTAAAGAACTTTCCTGAACTGAGAAAGAATAGAAAAACTAGAATTTAGGTATAGTTTTTGCGCGGATGAACTGTTTGAGTATGGCCTTATCCTCGTCGATACGCTTCTTCTCTTCAGGATCTTTCGGTTTGATTTTCCTTTTCTCTTCCAACATCCACTTGAAAAGTTCACGCTGCTGATCTTCAGGGATCAGTTCTCGAACTTTCGCATGTTCCACGGCTGGTGGAGGGGGTGTCGGCGTATCATAAATTGGCATTGTTTTGATGTTAGAAAGATCAACTTCCTCCTCTGCTTTGCTGTCTTTAACACCCTTTTCTGAAGCTTTGCGATTATTCTCTACATGGGCATCTTTCTTCTTAGGCCTTGCAAACATGTAAGCTGCAAAGAATGCAAATGCAAGTAAGCGAGCTCCTTCAGATGAATTTGAGCCTTATTGTTTTACTGAAATGTTACTCCAACTAATCAACGTTCTTAGAAACATAGAAATAATCCAATTGCGGACTTAAATGGCAGGACTGTGGACTAGTCATTTTCCTATAGGAAATAAAAACAAAAAACACTTAGGACCCATTTCATATACTTAAACTCAAATCATTAATTCTACTACAGTATTTTTCTCTCACAAAAAATTTTAAATTTCAAACGTCAGAATCAAGAATCATGATTTGAGTATAATATCACCACCAGCACACAAACATGCATGCACACACACACACACCAAGGAAGGGTCAAGAACCATAACATCTAAGCAAAATTATTCTCAAGGCAAAGGCCAAGCAAGAAGCAAACAAAAGGACGCAAAACCCTTTTTTTTTTGGGGAGGGTTTTAAGTGTCTTCAGAATATCACAAACTGGTTACTTCTCTAATTGTAGCCAAAGTCTCAAATGCCAAATTTTCCAGTCCTTACAGATGAAGTTGAACCCTTTTTGTATGTAACACTAGGCTAAAATAAGATCATAAAGTTTGCAACAAAAAAGCTACGTTGGGCATGTACTATAAACAAGCATTTTGGCCAGTATTAGGTGTTTATACAATCCCTTCTAGCACAAAACAACATTAAAAAAAAAAAAAGAATCTTATGAACACATTATTATTATTAGTTCACTTAACACTTAATAGCAGTTATTTATTTTGAACAAACATCAAACACATATTGCGCAAAACCCAAAAGGAAAAAAGAAAAAAAAAAAAAAAAAAAAAAAACCCCCCACAACCCAGATCACTCGAATGAAATGAACCCATTACTCAGAGTAAATAAAAAAAAAATCGACTTCAACAACCACATTTGTAAAAAAAAATAATAATAAAAATTGATTGATTAACTGAAAATGAAAATAGTGAGCAACGCCATAAAAACTAAAGAGCAACAAGAACCTCCGAGAGCTAGATTGGAGATCAAGAGAGCTCGCCAAATGAGTTTGTTGCGCCTGGTTAGAGACTCTTTTGGAGGCGAAGGTGGTGGTACGGACGAATGTGGCTCCGCCATTGATGAATGCCAGCGACTTTTGGTGTTTTTTGTTTTTTTTTGGGTGGGGTTTTCAGAGGGACTTTTGAAATGGCCTGTTCGAGAAGTTAGTAATAATGATAATAATCAGTTAATTATTGATTTCCAATTTCCAGTATGTTCTGGTTCTGGTAACGTTATTCAAACTGATGATTGCTTTACCAAATCTTTTGCGGTTGTGGAGGTTTTTTTAGGTTTAGTTCAGTTTGTCACAGAGGAAATGTGCACACATGAAAAGACGACGTCGTTTCTAAAAAAGAAGGTGACAAGTCTTGGACCCAATTTTTTTTTTTTTTCGTTTTTTGTAAAAACAAGGAAAATAACAGAAAATATGTCAATATAAAAAGCTTAAGAAAGTATATAGGTCAATTTTTAGTTATAGAAATTAATAGGTCATAACTTGTCAAGTTATGGTTTATAACCAGATAAATTATGGATAAACTTGTCAAGTTATGGTTCATATAACCAGACAAGTTATGGACAATTATGGATAATAACTTGTCAAGTTATGGTTCATAATCAGACAAATTATGGACGAAAACAGTAATTTGACCTATTTATTAACTTATGTAAACTATTGACCTATTAATTTTAATTCATCTAAAGTCTTAACTTATTTATCTCTTTTTCCTAAAAAACAATCACAGACTCTTAAAATCATTCTAAAAGCCAAAATTGCCAACGGACCCTTTATTTTGGACGGAACAGATCACGTGTTTCGCAAATGATCTATTGTTCATGGGTGATTAGGTTTAATATAATTCTAAATAAATCTCAATTTGAAAGAAGATTTATTTTCACGGGCTCCAACGTCATTCCCAATTTTTCTTATGAATTATAAAAACTCACTTTTTTCATTTTAATTTTGAATTAGTGCCACTTAACTCACTTAATTAAAATTTCTATTAAAATTATACCAAAAAATGAGTTAAATTTGATCATGTGTGTTAGGTCTGTTTTTCGGTCGGTGTCACAAATAGTGTTATAACACTAGTTGTAACACTGATAACAGATACGTGTAAATAGATATATTTTTTTTGATTCAATAGTAGTAAATTATAAGAGCAGAAACATAAAAGACACAAGGAATTGATATCACAGTTCGGTGCGCACACCTACATCTACGGGGCCACGCACAGACAGTGAACAATCCACTAAGATAAAGAGATTACAGGCACCAATCGGTCTTACACACTCAAAGACTCCCTCCTTGATGTAGTCGTCATTGTGGAGAATCCTCCTAGTGACTTTATTCTTCGAGCACCACTTGTCTTTGAAAACTTTCTCTTGAAAACAATACGTTCTTCTCCTGAAGAACCACCTTTTATTTTTTTTCACTCAAAGAGCATCTAAGCAACCTTTTGCTACAGAATATTTCATTCAAAAAGCTCTACAACGTTCATGGCTGCAAACCAAATATATATACCCCAAATTGGTCTATAGCCCCATCTATTTCTTCCACCAAAATCACCCTAAATAAATCAACTTCTCCTCCAAGGATTCTTCCCATACATAGAGCCCATCAATTAGCCACCAAAAGTCAACCAAATTAGCTCCATAAACTTATTTCCTTTTATTGAGGAAATCATCCCAAATCCGGTGCAAGTAACCAAGAATAGAATCTACATAGTAGTCCACAATCTTGCTATTTTGTTTATGAATTTACAACCTTTTGCCAACTAATAGTCCTAACAATGTGGACTTTTTTCTATTTATTTTTTAACCGAAGTTTAAGCAGAAAGACCATGTGATCTTATTGTTTCTTTTTTTTTTTAATGAATTCTAAAAGAAATTCTAAAAAAAAAATAGTTAAGGGCGATTAAAATTTTAAGTGAAAATTTTTAAATTTCAGGGATCAAACTAAAATGACTCTAAAGTTAAGAGACATTTGTGAGAATAATTTTTTCTTTTTTTTATGAAAGCTTTTCTGTTTTCAAGTTGGTAAATTACTACTTCAATTATGTTTACTTTTCCATTTTCCACAACAAAAAAAAAAAGTATTTATTCCATGTAAAAAAGGACATGCCGCTGTAAAGCAATAGTTTGTCGTTTAATTCTAAAACGACATCTAGTTTTTATTTTAGATGATTTATTCCATGCAAAAGCGACATGCCGTTGTAAAGCAATAGTTTGTCGCTCAATCCTAAAACGACATCTAGCTTTTATTTTAGATGCTTGCTAATTACTGTCATTTGCCTCAAAATGAGATGTCTTTTTTGCACGTCAAAGGTTATCGTCGTTTATTTTGAACGGGATATGTATATTTTTATTCTTTATAAGTCTTATAAAAGATTGTTGTTCCTCAATAAATAAACGACTGTTGTTTAACCTAAAAAACGACATGTTGCTAGGTCCTAGTTTCCCTTTTAGAGCTTGTTATTTCCTGCCATTTACCACACAAAAAATAAAAAATAAAAAATCACGGAAGTTCTCGTTTATTCTAATGGCTAAAACATTAGTTCCCACCAGTGAAATAAAAGTGCATGTTCTGTCATAAGTTTTGGCCGGAAAATATTTACAATGTAAAGGTGATTTTAATAATAATGAAAACAAAAATTGAGTAAGGGGTTAACTCCCAGTTTCAAAAAAAAAAAAAAAAAATCGCCCATAATGTGTATATGAGAATCAATGCAATGCAAAAAGATATTAATTATTCTCAATAAGAGGTATCCATGCAAAATAGCCCTAAAGAATATAGAGACTAATCTTGCTAATTACCCTAATTTAATATTTAGAAACAAAGCATTAAAATAACTTTGAATTATTTACATTTATTAAACTTTGTTTTATTTCTTTTGTATTTCGTTTTATGCCATTAAACTTTACGTTTGTTTTCTTGGCACTGTATTTTTTTTTTGTAATTTTAAAGAATTATCTTTTCTTAAGCTCATTTTTCAACAAGATCGATAAATAGTTTTTAACTCGAATGTGTCACAGCACAGTTGATAATAGTTTTTCCCGGGGGGTAAATATGAAAATCCATTGCGATTCCCATTTTCGATGAGCACAAGGCCACAAAACATCATTATTGTAGTACTACTATGAATGACTATTTTCAGTAAATTGCCTAAATATATATGCACGTACACTTTTTTTTTCTTTTCATGTCTTATAAATTATTAAGTTCGGCACATTCACAGTATGTACAAAAACTTTCAGACAATACGAGACTCTCCCGAGTCTCGATGTTGTTTTGTGTTGAGTATTGACCATTGACCTCCTCTTTCTCTTTTACTCAAAATCTTTCTTGACTTGTATCACAATGCTATAAAATAATAGTGTGTTAGTTTACTAATTTATCTTAAAAATTTAAGTTATTAAAAGGTGAGTTAACAATAATTTTATACTTTAACACTCTTCCTCATATGTGGGTTAGATAATGGGTAATCGTGTGGGTAAATTAATTAGAAAACCCAACACGTGAATATTTAAGCCCGAGATATATAAAGACCCAACACGTGATGACAATTTTTAAATGGGGATAAAGAGTGCAATTACGGGAGTTTGAACTCAGGACCTCCCGCTCTGATACCATATTAGTTTACCAATAGCTTAAGCGATGTTCAATGCCATCTAATAGTACGGATAAGATTCACACGGATAGTCTCAAACTTTAAGTAGAGTTATTTCAGTTATAGGCCACACACTAAAATTGCTTTAGAATTGCTTTTAAGTGTGTTTAGAATTGCTTTTAAAACTCTCAAAACACTTTGCACAATAAACAATGTAATTTCAGTGTTTAATAAATATGCACAAAAGTACTTTGTACATAAATTAATGCACTTTTTAAGTTATTTTAAGAAATTAAAATGTTTAACTTTTAGATTATACTTTTGCTTCTGCTTTTGTTTTAAGTAAAAATAATATTTTTATTAAAAACACAATAATTATTTTAAAATACAACAACCTCAAACTAAACCTATATATATTATTGAGCACATATCACGTGTCTCTCTATATATGTATTCAGCAAAAAAAAAAAAAAAAACGTGTCTCCACATATGCACACCGTTAAAAAATCTCTTCAATAACATCGCCATGAATAAGTTGTAAAATCTAGAAGACTACTAATTGCTTTATATGTAATATCTTTCCTTCCAAAAAGTAACAAAAACTACAATCTACAGCTAATATTTACTAAACTAAACAACATTTTAATCATCACCCATGACCCACCAATATATATAATTCAGTGAAAAACAAAGTTACATGCATAGTGAGAGAAAGAGAGAGTGTGTACATTTAGCCATTGCAAGCCAAAAAAAATACAAATTGTATTAGAAGTTATCAAAGTTATAATGGAGAAAGCATGTGTGTGTATATATACATACATATATATACATACACACACATATACGCATATCGTTTTATATAAGAACATTTTTCATTATTATATACCAACGCAACCCAGCTGGCAAGCTAGGGTTTCTAGTTTCTCCACTATATATCTATAAGTCTAACACTGCCATGGTTAAAAGTCAGGTAAAAAAAAGTTGTGTCATCATCTTTTAACATAGAAAATTAAAGTTACCACTTTATCTCCAAGTATTCACAGATCGCCAATAATATATATTGTGTTTGTGACCAACAATTTTTTTTTGTTTTTTTAATGTGGGCATGGTCTTTTAGGACTACTGCACACAATTAGGTCAAGTCGTTCTCTTATACTACCGCTATTTCGAATTTTCTAGCTTTCTGACCATCTTGTGCAATACAGACAGCGTCTGAGACAAAAGTACAATCCTCTTGGCGATCTTTCATAACACCAAAAGCTGAAACTCTTGATCTGAATCATCACCATCATCATCGTATACGCGTCTCTCGTTTAGTCTTTGTTGCTTTCTCGATCTCAAGTATGGCCCTAATCACTATCTCTCTTTCTAATTAAACCCCACGATTAAAAACTAATTATAATATTTTGCTTTCTATATTTGAATCAATTAATTTGTCACCGTACTTTTATGATCTTCTCGTTGCCTAGTTATCTAAGAATAATTAACTGAAAATCCGTAAAGAAAAAGCGCCCTTAAGTAATTAAGATCATGATCAGTAGTAATAGAACGGCCGAGTAAAAAAAAAAAGAAAAGAAATTAACAACAAATTAATAAGAAGCCTTAATTTGAGAATTTTATTAATTAAGTATGACAACACAATGAGCAGATACTAACGAACAAGAGACCCATCATGATTTGGTTATCAACTTGTCCAATCCACCATAGCTCCTAAGATCACAAGTACACTACTAATAATTTATTCTCTCCTTTTTTTTTCCTCTCTTTTCTTTTTCTTTTTTTATTGAATTTTGATTTTCTCACACATAATCTAATTTCTCTCTATTTCATGACATGCTCACTCTCACACATGGATATGCCTTAGGTCTAAACTACATATGAGAAAACTGATATGGAAAATCATTCTTTTGGAGGAGAGATCAGATCATAGCAATACTGTCGATGATAAACAATATCTCTCTCTCTCTCTCATCCATGAACAAGTCCATAAGAAAGAGCCATTAGCAGGATAGCGGCATCTTTCTCGTCTTGAGGGAAAACTCGTTGGAAGGCTGAGTTCTTGCTTATGCTTATCGCGAGATCCTCGAAACAAATCTTCTTCCTACCTCTAGATGGAGAGGCCGTGAGTTTGCATCTTTTCTTGAATTGTGGAACAACACCGTTGCCATTTTTCGGTTTCTTCTCTTTGCGTTGAACTTTAGTACTACTCTTCATGGTGGTTGCATCCGTGGCAAGAATTGTGCCATTTGCCGCCGCAGCTGCCGCCGCCATTGCTCTTCTCGCCTTTCTTTGTCGAATCCCGCAGGCATTGCAAAGTGACTGCACCAACACAAATAATTATTAAATCAGCTTAATTTTTGTGTCAAATATGTCTTTGGTATTTTATATCCCTTATAAAAATTAAAAAAATTATCATCCTTGAGAGCTTGAAGGTACATATACATAAGAAAAATCAAATTCTTTAGTTAATTAATATATGAAAAATATGAATTGATCATGAAGAATAGAGAGAAATTAGTATACCTTGGGACCTCTTGGACCACTCCTCCAAAGAGGGGTTTTGGTTGTGTTACAATCAGCGCAAACCCTAATTGTGTTGTTGTTGTTGTTGTTTGAGGAAGAAGTGCTGCTGTGATCCGTACCTAAAGGCGATGCCGGATGCTTTCTCTTCATGACTTGATCAAACTTGTGAGTGAAGTTTAATGGTGTATGATGATCGATATTTGTTTGATCCGGGTTCACGATCATCTTCCTCATCATCCTCATCTTTGAAGGCATCCACTTAGCCGAATATCCGGCGTTATTGTCACTCACGTGACTGCTTTTGTCATGATCATAATTTGAATCTTCAGTACTACTTTTCCAAATGCTAAGTTTCAAATCATTTTGGTGGTGATCAGATTCACTCTCTGCAACTCTTGGAGGATGAATATCACTTGATCCGCCGGATGAAACAAGCTTGTGATGATGATCAGCCTAAAAAGATCAACAAAATTTGAAAAAGACATATGAGAAAAATTAAAACAAATTAACAAAGCTAGCTAGCATGCATAAATAATATAAACCACAATCCAAGATTAATTAAGTTGGTACATAATATATTATATTTATGATCAATAGTATACCTCTTGTACTTGAATTGTTTGTGGTTCTCTATAATAAAATTGCCCTTGATCTTGGGGTGGGATATTCATGAAATTAGGAGATGAGAGAGATAAAGATGAAGAAGTTTGATCATGATTTAGAGTGAATAAGTGATGGTGGCCATGATCTTCAATGTTAAGGTCAAGAAAAGTTGAAGGTGGTGAATTATGGTAAGGTGGATCCATTAGCCGAGACAGAGAGCGAGAGAGCGAGAGAGAGAGAGAGAGAGAGTTGTGTCCTGCAAAGGTGGAAACTAGAGATTTGAGACGGCAAAAGGGCCTAAGTTGTAGAGTGGTAAAACTCTTTTAAAGAATCGAGATCAGGCACAACAGAGAGAGAGAGAGAGAGGGGGAGAGAGAGAGAGAGAGAGAGAGAGAGAGAGAGAGAGAGAGAGAGAGAGAGAGAGAGAGAGAGAGAGAGAGAGAGAGAGAGAGAAGATATGAAGCTGTAAGGCGTTCACGTGAGTTCATGACACCCAAACAACCAAGTTAAAAAGACAAAAGAGAAGGAGATAAACCAAAGAGAGATGTGTGGAATGCTACTACAGAGACCCCATTGATAAAAACCCTATCTCCAATAAACTTTCAGCACCTCCCCACAGAAGCCCTAGTCCTGAAATCAAACACGCCCGAGCCTACCGTGAACCTTGGATCTTAGCCACACAAAATAAGATTTCACTTATATTTTTCACACATTAAACCTATTAGCTAGTAGTGATCTATATGCAAAAAATTAAAGTACTATTTTTGAGGTGTAATCTGACCAACCAATCAATTAATATATAGTCCGTTATTTTCTTAATCACACTCTAAATCAAATTAATAAATGATGTTAATCGCAGATACTAACACTACATATGCGATAATGTGTCGGTATTGTTATTATTAGTTTCTTATCATGTCATGCAATTGAGAATAGCTTAATTGATGTTTAGTAGGCGTGTGAGTTATCTTCGATATATTGAGTTCTGGGCTAGGGTCAGTAAAATTATTGAAAAATTTTCTTAACACACTGTAAAATTGCTTTGAGCCGGGATGATAAACACGACAATCATAATTATTAACTTTGTGACAGTAATTAATGAATTGTATGTATCCATATATATGATCTTCAAAGACCTGATCATGGATAGGGGCTAACCTTGGTGTCTGTCCCTTTCGTTTTGCTAGCTGGAGAATGTTTGTCTTTGTTAATTAATTAATATGAGTATGCATCTTTTCAATTTGCTGGAGAAATTTGCTGAAAGCATATTCATGTGCAGATCAGAGGGGAAAGGAGAGATATAGATCATAGATAGGTTAGAAATTGCATGGGAACAAACTCTCTTCACCTTAGTATTGCCAAAAGGCATTCAATGCCATGTGCAGGCAAGAGACAAACTTTGCAGCTAAAGCCCTCCCCACACTTTAATTTGCTATGCTTCAACCCTATTATTTATATTGCATATGTGCTGATCCTCTAAGATCATTTTATTAATATATATTCCTCGATTTTTTTTTTTCATTCACAACATTCTTTTTCTTACTATATTTGATTTCTATACATGTGTTCATATATATCATTTCCACTAAGGAAACAAAAAAGGGTTGTCATTGCTCGTAATTCACGGCAGCTACCAAAAGAATCCTAGCAGCACTAACGGTATTTTTTTAACGTAGTGTACTGCATGGTAACAAAAAATATTACCATATGTATAAGTTGATGTTTCCTATATTACATTCATAGTTTTCATTAAAAAAGTATAATACTTTAACATACTGCACGCATGTAACTATATTTTATATAGTTACATTCGGTGGTTACCATTAAATATAGAACTTTAATAACATAACGTGATAAGAATTTAATTTCATTAATTATCATAATTTTTTTAGTCAACTATCTAATATATTACTACCATCGGATCAATATCATACAATTAAGATAACGATACTCATCGATGGATAAATAATAGAGTAATCGTTAAAATTACCACATCCATATGTGTGTATATCGACGAGTTTTCAATTGTTACGTTTCCATTGGTGGTTACAACCAAATATAGAAATATGATTACATAGCGTGATAAGAATCATGTTCCATTAATTGTCATAAATTTTTTTGATCAACTATATATTTTATTATAACTGTCAAATTAATATCTTATGATTAAAACAATAATACGATGGATAAATATTGAAATAACTATTAAAACCACACCTATATGTATATATGTACGTTTAAGTATGCGTATTTGTGCATTTCCTTTTACTATCCATTACCCACATGAACTAAATGAAGCCTGAATATTGCACAATTATTTGATGGTACTGAGTTTCTTATTAAGTACGAACGTGACAATATGATTTACTCTTCATTGGACTATCCTTCCCAAATCTCTACCAAATGTCAATCGGCTTTGTCATATAAGACAAAGTATCTGTCATGTTGGGTTCACAAGTGGGCTTTAGGTCCACACGCATTTATTTTTGCTCTTCCACACTGTCCTTCAGGATCGTATATATTTATATATGAAGTATTATTTACTGTGTCTCATCTTGTCACCTGTAGTTATTTAATAATTTTGTTTAAATGATTTCCCAAGTGAAAGGAGCAAGAGTAGATAAGTACATTAATCTCCACTATTTTTTTTTTTTGAGGAAATTAATGTCCACTATTAAATGCATGTTATTATGGATGAACTCGAATTTGGTCTATGAAAGAGATCAATTGAAAATATGCCCAATATTCTTATAAGTTATAATTACATAGAAAGAGAGAATTTCGGCTGATCAGGAGTAAAAATGCCTTATAATTAGTTGCCTATTCACTTCGAACATTTTTATTTTATTTTATAATTTTTCACTTGGAACATTGTCTTTACATGAATTGACTTTCGTTATTTGTACCATTTGGAGTAAAAAAAAGGGGAAAAAAATAATGTCGTAAATAATTCACAGGTTCACAGTACCACTGTCTCCTTAGTTGGATCCACATGCCAGTTTTTTTTTTTTTAGGTGCAGACATAAAAACAAAACATGCACCGAAGAAAATACAATGGAGAGAGATAATCGCTTACTTGGTTGGAGGGTTGGAGAAGAGAATAAAAAGATGAGAGATAGAATCTCAAACCCAGCTTTTCCTATACTAATTAATCGGATTCAAGAAATCCATTAAAAAAAGTTGAAAAAAACTATTTTAGTTTTAAACAATAATTATATGGTAAAATGAACAATATATATAACATTAAGATTTTCTATATTCATTCATTTTTTCTAATGATCTCTTTCTTTTTTTTACTAAATAACATGAAGTATTACTATAATCTTATCTCTTTCTTATTTTACTAAATAACATGAAGTATATATTACTATAATCTTATCTCTTTTCTATATCCATCCATTCTCTCCTTTCCACCAAAACATGCCCTAATTAAGGACGATAATTAGCCAATACCAAGGCAAGAGATGGAATTCTTTAAAATATTCCCCACTTAAATGTTGCCTGAGGTCATATATTTTTTATGGCTTCATTTTTTTCCCTTAAATTTCCCAAGTATTTTGCTAAATAATATTATATGTTTCGTTGAGATAACCATCAAGAGCAAGATAATATATATATATATATATATATATGTGTGTGTGTGTGTGTGTGTATACAAGTATACAATTAGTCTTTGTCATAATTTTGGCACTCTTGAAACTAGCTAATATTATGGGTGATCAGAAAACCACCAGCAGTCTCATGTATGTCCTATAAATTATTTCAGTCTCAGATAATTTTTTTTTTTTAAAAAAAAAAAACAGGCTATATATATCTAAATATCTTACCAACAAAGAAATAACAGTTTGTACATCTTAAATATATTTGAAACCAGAGACACACATATGCAGACCAAAGACGACCAGGTTTGTTTGTCACAGAATGAACTGACGATAATATCCTTTTCTAGGTGAGAATAACAAAAAAGAAATGAATAAATTATAAAGAAAAAGAAATAAAGTTATGAATTTTTACGATCACGAGAGAGGCTACGTAGGCGAGTTGTTGTTCACTCCTGTAAACGGTAGGGGCTAGAGACATCGATTGGGACGTTGAGGAAAATTATAAATATAAATGCAAAAATTGGTTTTGTCAGTTAATATGTGTACGTCCAAATACAGGTAGTTTTCAAACTGGTGCTCACAAATCTGAAGAATCATCCGCTTGATCTGCTAATACATGACAGTCTCGCGTAATGGCGTATACAACATAACCTTCCAATTATGTTGTTATATCCTCTCTCTCTCTCTCTCTCTCTCTCTCTCTCTCTCTCTCTCTCTCTCTCTCTCTCTACCTTCCAATTATATTATTATATCCTTTCTCTCTCTCTCTCTCCCTCTCTCTATCTCTCTCTCTCTCTTCTCTCTCTCTCTCTCCCTCTCTCTCTTCTCTCTCTCTCTTCTCTCTCTCTCCCTCTCTCTCTCTCTCTCTCTCTCTATCGCTACGTTATGGGGCATAGCAAAATTCTGACGGGGGAAGAACAAGAACAAGATCATATTGTATGGGCTAATACATCATTCAAGCATATGTCCGCAATTGCGTTATAGTAATGTAAAAAACGTGAAAAGTTAAAAATAAAATATAAAAAAGTAAAACAAATTAAAAAAACGTGATCATGTGATTTGATTGGTCAACACTGTTTTAGCCCAAAATTCAACGTGTGATTTGCGCCTGAGAATGACCCATCACCCACACTAATCTATTACAACTCAAATCACACCGACAAACTTGAACAGATGCCCTTCTAGTTAATAGTTATGTACATATGTTGGTCTGATTATCACGTTGTTTTTACCTAACTAGGTTATAATATATATGTATATGGTATGTGTCACTATGTTTTGCTTGCAATTATATTAAGGCCTATTTGAAGTAATATTAGTTTGAGTAAATACGGAGATTGATCAATTAATTACTAAGCTTCTTCAAAAAAATAATAAATAAATAAAGTAACTGAATTTCAATGTTGGTCCCGTTCATTTCACCAATTCAAGTTTAGAATTCGAGTTTTGTTACAGTAAAAAGTTCTAAAAAACAGTCACATCTAACTTTTTGTTACAGTAAAGAGTTCTTACATAAAATCACATCTCAATTCAAATTAAAAACTCAAATCAGCGAACTAAAAGGGCCTAGGGGTAAATAGAGATTCAAACTTAATACCTCAATTGGTGTTGTTGGATCATGTGCATGTAAAATTGCTACAACTTGTAGAATTGTCATAATAACCGCTTTCAACAGATGATCAGATTAAATTTGAAACCAGGCCAAATTTTCATACCAAAAATAGAAACTTCCATCATTAGTGACAACCATATTTAGTATTTTCATTTAAATAGTG